AACTTCTAAAAAAATCATCTGTTTCGAATGTACAGAATTGTATAGTAGAATATACATAAACTCATAACATAATACACATAAACTCTTAACAGAATACAAATAAACTCTTAACATAATACACATAAACTATTAACATAATACACATAAACTATTAACATAATATACATAAAATCTTAACATAAAAAACGACATCGTTTTGGACAAGGTGCACAATGCATTATGTGCCCTGGTGCACGATATAACGAATCATGATATGGGCAGCTCAACTGGTCATAGAGGTGAAATTTGGGAAGAATGACCAGGGATTGAGTCTCACCAGCGGCAGTGTGGAGTAACCCTTCAAAGTGAGGGGGCGCAGTAAGCGCCTCTATAGTTCAGTTGAGTTACCATGATTCCTTGTGCGCAGTAAGCGCCAGAGGGGGGCGCCTCTATGGTTCATGGTTCAGTTGAGTTACCAACTTACCATGATTAACTCATGATTTACATCCTCCCAGATGTCGGGCCTTTAGGGTTAGGGATTCAACCTTTTAATCATTATTGCATGAACCATGGCCCACACAATTGTGTGGACCATAAATAAAATGTACATTTTTAACATACTAAGAGTACATTATTTGTGTACGTAAGATATATTTTTAAAAATACATTTTTAATATACTAAGGATACATTATTTTATATAATGTACCTTTAATACAAAAATAATGTACTTTTAATATATTAAAAATATACTTGATATTTATAGTCCACACTATAATTTGCCCATTCCAAAGAATGATTGAGGGCTGAGTGAGTAGACAAACAAGTCAACAAAGCCATAAATGTCTTATTCTATCTTGCTCCAAGGGGTACGCCATTCTCAACCAATCAAACAGTACATGCAATAAAGCAGAAAAAATCTCATTCTTTTTTTGAAAGCCGAAAAAATCTCATTCTAGTCGGTCAACTTGCCCAAAACTCATTGTCAATTGCAATGTGTCTCTTTATTATTATTATTATTATTATTATTTTTTAGGAAAAAGTACAAATAAGTCATTGAATTATTTTAGAGATAGCAATTAAGCTATCGAACTCGAATAAGCTTCAAATTCATTTATGAACTGGGAAAAAAAAGCAATTAGCATTTTTAGCAGGTTAACAACATGTTATTATTTTTATTATTCTACTAAACATTTGACCCTCTTTCTGGATGCCATGTTTTCCTGATTTTATTTACTGTATTTAACAATTATTTTTTATATTTATTTTAATAATTTCAAATAAAATAATTGTTTTCACAAATAAAATAAAATAAATAAAATAATTATTTTGAAAGTTCTTTTTTTTAAGCCTTGTCAGAGTCTCCATGGCCGACCCTTCGTCTTCATGGCTAGCCGGAGAGGAAGGGGTCCCTTCCGTCTCCATGGCTGGTTGGCCGGAGACAAAGCGTTGGGGACCGCCTCATCTCCGACCAACCATGGAGACGAAGCGGTGGGGACCGCTTCGTCTCTGACCAGCCAAGGAGACGGTCCCCTTCGTCTCGAGGGCGCTCGGAGACGAAGTCGACCCTTCGTCTCCGGGCAGCAATGGAGGTTGTTTTTTTTTTTTTTTTGTTTTTTTTTTTTTTTTAAATTTCAAAATAATCATTTTATTTAAAATTATTAAAATAAAATTTAAAAATTTATTTTTTTAAACAAAAAAAATTATTGTATTATTTTTAAATATAGTAACCGACACGTTAGGAAAACATGGCATCCCGGGAGAGGGTCTAATGCTTAGTAGGATAATAATAATAAATAAATAAATAAATAAATGAAATAAAATATACACATGACAACCCAAACCTGTTGTTAACCTAGTTCAATTCAATGGCCTAAGACTATTGACCCTGTTATATGTAGTATCTGTTCATACATTTTCTCAACCTACTAAAGCCCATCGAATCAATACCAACTCCACTGAAGTTCGAGCCCATGACCTCCCAATCGCAAATTATGCCCTGGAAACATGGTGAACACGGGTCCAAACGGTGTCGTTTTTACGGGAAAAAAATAGTTAATTTGCTATTAACGGCACGCGTTTGTTCAGATTATGGATTTTCTGTTATGAGATTATGAATGTATTGTAAATTCATAATCTCATAACAGAAAATTCATAATCACATAAAAGAAAAACATTTATTAAACGTTTCGTGGTTGAGTACTGAACATGTAATTACTTTAAAACTTATATTTGATTTATTGGAAATCTCGCAACAGCTACTCGAATATGCGATTGGCGTAAAACTCACCTTATGACCCTCGTCAGAAAAGGATTACAATAAGGTAAACGGCTAATAGACAACTCTCACAAAGAGTCAAACTTAGAACTTCATGACTACCAAATTAATCGTTTGGCTGAAAATTACCTAAAACTTATCAATTTCATACTTGACATGACAATAAAACTCTTTATATTTATTGAACCTCATCCTATATTAATACACCAAAAAGAAAAAAACAAACAAACAAACTAATCAAGTATATATATATTGCCAGATGCCAAGTAAGGATGTAAAATCGAAAAGGAAACGTAGCATAGCTCTAAGTGGCGTAACCCTTGGGGCAAGATAGAATCTTAAACCGAAACAAGACATTTATAGCAGTTGTTTGTTTACTAATACTAAGAAAGAGATTTTTATTTTTCCCTACCGATTGATTTATGTGCGTGTCGTTCCCATCACATTAGAGGTGGCCATGGCCATTTCAAAGTCGAATCAGTCCTGAATTGACTCGGAAAAAAACAGGTGTAGGCCAGCCTGCGCTTAGTTTAAACCTGAACGGTCTTATAGAGGCCGGTTCAGGTCTTATAAAGAAATAGTCCAGAGCTCAGTTCGAAACAGGTTCAGGCCTATGCCCACACTGTTGCTGCCGAGGTTCAAACTTGGTCTCTTCTCCCAAATACTACCTATTGAACCAGTGAGTTAAGCCCATGTGGGCTGCTATAAGTCTTCCCTACTATGGTGAATTGTTAGGATCAAATGTAAAAAAAATATAGCTAGTAGATATCAATTGTTATGATCAAATGCTTATCACTATGCCAGTAGCGAATAAACAACTTTATCTCATTATACTTGCTTAGCAATTAATATCACATTTTGATAACAAGATATTGAACTCGACTTTTCGAACTACCGCCCAACAATTTCATTCCACATTTTAATGAGTTGGTTGGAAAGTAATTGTGGTCGAATTTTCTTTTATTCCTTTGTTCATGCATGTCTGGGTATGCATATAGATTAGTGGCCCTTGCGCATTATTCAGATAATTCGATTCGGCATTTCAAATTATTCCTTTGTTCATGAATGGTATTTTAAATTTAGAACGAAGCCAATTAATTGTCAAGTTGCATAATTTAAATTATGATGTATCGGAATATAAAATCAAGTTGGATATCAAGTATCAAAATTTGAAAGAAATGAATTGAAATGTGAGATTCAATTTCAACCGTTGTCGTCTATGAACATGAGATAAAATACAACGATTTTTTATCGTTGTCTTTGATATATAAGATAAATCGTTATCTATACGCCTGACAGTCAACAACACATGTTTTAACAACACTCAATATACAACGATTTTTAACCGTTGTCTTTGATATATAAGACAACGGTTAAAAACCGTTGTCTATGAGTGTGACTTTCAACAACAATTGATAGACAACGGTTTTTAACCGTTGTCTTATATAGAAAAGACAACGATTAAAAACCGTTGTCTATACGCGTGACTTTCAACAACACTCAACAGACAACGAAACCGTTGTCTTATATATATAGAAAAGACAATGGTTTAAAAACCGTTGTCTATGCGCGTGACTTTCAACAACACTCAATAGACAACAGTTTTTAACCGTTATCTTATATAGAAAAGACAACGATTTTTGAGCGAGACTTACAATAACACGGTTTCATCAACAACATATTTTTTACCAAAAAAGACAATAGTTTTTAACCGTTGTCTATATTCATTTTTCTTGTGGTGTATTGATTTGTTGACTTGGAACATTGAAAGACTCTGGAGTCACAATAATCCGAGATTCCAAGAGATATACTTTAGTATGGAGTATTCAATGAGCGAAAATGCTACGTATATGCATGCAAAAAAAAATACTATTTGAACTTTCAAATTCTACTCACAACTTTTATTATTTCATTCAATTTTTTTTATGTTGCTATTTTTATTGGGACTCATAAAATGAAAATAATTTATCATTACGTCACAAATCATATATTCATATAGTAAAAATAAGGAAGTAGAGATAGGGAGTTCATGCAATAGAATTCTTATATGAGAGTGTTGTACTTGTACTGTAGCATGCCGTATGACAATGACAAATCCATCAATCAATTGACAAAAAAAAAAAAATGAAATTTCTCTTTCTTAGTATTAATCATAAATGTCTCATTATTGCTTAAAACTCGACAACCAAACAATAATGTTACAAATATCTAATTCTGCATGTCTCAACTTGTTCAAGACGGCAAGACTCATGTCAACTTTATTATGTACAATAAATGTATTTAAAAGAGAAAATATTTGATGCTTGTTCGAATCCATGACACAAGATTTTTCTAATCTTTTTAATTTCATTTATATCTTATGTGCAATTTGTGTACTATTACATAAGAGTGAAATTTATTCAACGCACACATTATTGTGATGAGCTCCACTCGTTATCCAACAAAAATTGATGTATTGTCAATATAGTAAATTAAATCATATTAGGTTAATAAAAATAAATTCAATTTTGATTAAACATTTTTGTAAATGAAAAAAAATGACATAAATATATTTTCTTATCTGGCCACAAGTTTTCTAAGTTAGGCTGTACTCAGACCCCACATATAGTGCCTAATTCTATTTGTGAAAGTAAATGCAAACCTAGTAAATATATTGTTACTAGGTTAGAGAAGTTGGAACGCAAATGCTGAAGAAAGCTAAGCCATGAAAGATGCAAAATTGTCCAAGAAAAGGCTAGAGAATATAAAAAAGATTTTAATACATTTACTTGGTCATCAGCTCAAAGCCAAGGGTCTAAACTTTGAAAGGAAGAAAATTTAATGTTACAACCAAGTATAAATTTTTTAAATATATTTCTTAAGGATTATGTAATAATTTTTAATTATTAATTTGTATTTGGAGAAAAATTTAGTTTGTACGGAGAATCACTTAAGCTAACTGACGTTTCCTCATAACGATCTCTCATGGCTTGAAAATTGAATTCGTGTAGATCAGATTTGTACTCAAGAATATCACAATGGCCTTCAAGCATGCTTATTACTGCAGACATGGATGGCCTAAGGGCTGGTGAAGGATTAGTACAAAGCAAAGCCACTTTGATCATTCTGAGTGCTTCTTCTTTGTCCAAATCAGAACCTAATCTTGGATCTATTAGCTCCATTAGGTTTCCTCTTTGTCGAAGATCAAGTGCCTGAAAGTTGTGCATTAAATACATTAGAACACAACTGAATATATATAAGCATAGGCCATCTTTGTTTGACATGTTGTATGCAAATGCAATCTATGAATTATTATGAGCTTGGTAGTACTGATGTCTCACCCAATCAAGGAGGCAAACGTAGTTCTCATTAGGACGATACTTCCTGTTGTTCTTCCCCGAAACAATTTCTAGTGCCACAACTCCAAAACTATAGACATCAGCTTTGAATGTTAAGTAACCCCACAGTGCATATTCAGGAGCCATGTATCCTCTATAAACACAGAAAGAAAAGTGTAAAATAATTGTTTCTTTCAACTCTATGATGAATTAGGAAATACAAAATAGACATGAAATTTTTATAACATCTTACGTTGTCCCAGCAACTCTCGTGCTGACGTGTGTATTCTCGTCATCATTAAGTTTAGCCAGACCAAAATCAGAAATTTTTGGATTGAGTTCTTTGTCAAGCAACACATTGTTTGGTTTAATGTCTCTATGTACAATTTTTATTGCTGATTCTTCGTGCAAGAAAGCTAAACCTCTTGCAATACCAATACAAATTCTATATCTGGTAGGCCATTCAATCTTTGATTGACAATCTTCTCGACCTGTAATTAACGGTTAGTTAACTCAGAATACCTTATTGATCAAGATAAACTATGCCCACTATAACAATAATTAAGATTTCAAATTTACCATAAAGAGCATGGGCAAGACTATTGTTTTCCAAGTACTCATAAACCAGCAACAATTGTTTTCCCTCAACACAACACCCATAAAGTTTCACAAGATTAGGGTGTTTCAAACAAGAAATCAAGCTTATTTCGTTCACAAATTCACGATTTCCTTGTCTTGATTTGGATGACAGTTGTTTCACAGCAATAACTGTACCATCCAATAATATACCCTAGTTTTACACAAAAGGGAAAATCCAAGATCATAAACTTAGTATTTCTGGTAAGTCCAAAAACAAAAGTGTTAAGTTACGAATTAATAGATTATGGATATTCACATTCAAAAAAAAAAAAAAAAAAGATTATGGATATTCATATTCCTTAAATACCTTGTAGACAGGCCCGAAACCACCTTCCCCAATTTTGTTTGCAGCATCAAAGTTGTCTGTAGCAGCTTTAATTTGTGAGAAGGTAAATAGACTAGTTTGTAAATCAAGTCCTCGTAGTTCTGCACTTAGAACAATTACTTTGTAAAAATTATATTGCAGGTGAATATGTACATGTTAAGGAAAGAAATCACAAATGTTGAATATTAGGAAAGTTGTCTTACTTTCCTATTCTCTTCCTTTCCTATTCTTATTAATTAGTAGTTTCCTATACTAATTTAGTATATTAAATTAGTATAGGAAACTACTAATTAATAAGAATAGGAAAATAAGACAACTTTCCTAATATTCAACACTTGTGATTTCTTTCCTTAACATGTGATTTCTGTGATTTCTTTCCTTAACAGTACAAAATAAAAATAAAAATAAAAAAGTTGTTCTTTAGGTGCTTTGTGATGCCAACCCAACCTTGGGCATGTGTGGATATTGTGAGTGCATGCACAGAATGTTACAGTGTACAAGTTTCTATACAAAATCAAAAAGTAAATGAAACTAACTGCATATATATATATTACCATTTTCTAGTGAGGTCTTGTTTTTATAGATCTTCCACCAAGCCAAACAAAGAATAGCAAAAATAGAAAACAAAGAAGAAGCTACTGCAATAACTATGATTAAAGTCTTTCTCTTTTTGGGAGGTTTGAAATCTGCAGATTTGTAGAAAAGACATGAGAGTGAGTTAAATACCATGCAGTTATTTATCAGCAACTAAACAGAAACAATGAAAAAGTAATAAAATATATATATGCTACTAATTAAAAATCCAATTGGTAATATTACCAGATTCCACAGAAATGGCAGATATTAAAGGACCATATGATCCTGGAAGTGGGACTATAGTTGATCCTTTTTCAGCATACTCAAAGCGTAACTCGAGAGTTTTATCTCTGACAATTGCTCGAAATTGTTTAACCAATGCTTTGTCAACTCCTTGTGCTTCAGTTTCAATATTAAAATCCTTTAATTTCCTTTCACCCTGTAGCCAATAAAATTAGTATAGTCAAATGTACATCTCTTTAACCACTAAAGTTCACAATTTAAACTGTAAAATTCTCAGTTGACCTGTATATAAACATCAAATAAGCGCTTTCCAAGACTTTGAAAAGATCTGTTATCTCTCAGAACTATCTCTGCAAAATGAAGTTTCACAGTATAGTTTCCATTTCCTAAGCAACGTCCATAATAAGTCATAGATAAAGGAGATAAGCGAGCTGTCTTGTAGATTTCAGAGTTGTTTCCCTTGATGATAGATATATTTTTTGCAGTATAGTCGAGTAGTGCTATGGCTTTATCCCAAAAGTGCCCTGTATTACTAGTCAACCAGTTCTCTCTATTGGAAACAAATTTCGCAAGGCCAGTAGAATGTTCATCATCTGCCTCATACGTAGTGTCACCAATCAAAACATTTCCTCCACCACAATTGATGTGAAATGAATACCAATCTTAAAAAAAAAAAAAAAAAAAAAAGAAAGAAAGAAAAAAAAAAAAAAAAAAAAAAAAACAAGACAAAACAAGCATATTTCAACCATACAATTTCAACCATATATAAATGCAAGTATTGTGATATGATAGATGTGCTTACCTTTCGTGCATTGCTTTAGACACTTTCTATACAAGGCCAAAAGGGCAGGGGATCAAGTTAGAAACTTTGGAGTATAAATTACATTAAAAATTAATGAGCTAGAGGATATATGTTAAAACTTACTCATTTTCTCCAACATCATGATAGGTTTTGAACAAGTTTCTGATAAGAAAATAAATGAGAAAGCTAAAATGATCCATCTTTGAAGGAACAATTGAAAGACTATATGCATATACGAGGCAGAATCTTACAGGCTTTCCCGATTGCAAATTGGTGACACAGAGTTCTCTTCAAAATTATTGTAAGAAAGATCTATGTAACTGCACACCATCTTTTAATTTTTGTTAGCGCTTATTATTATGTCAAGAGTAGTTGAAAAGATCACTAGTAAAATACAACAAAAGTTTGATTCAATTAGACTGAACTTACTATCTGGAATCTCGATTTAGAACCCATTGAGAAATTTTTCCACTAAGCGAGTTGTTTGTTAGATACCTACATACAGGGACGTTATTAGTCTAGAATGAGATAATCAACTGAATCACAACATAACCAAATTCTCAAGTATGAGAAACATAACTTGAATGCTACTCACATGTACTGCAAACTATCAAGACCTTGAAGATAATCAATCCCTCCTTCCAGATTATTAAAACTAAAATCTCTGCATGCAAATTCAATATCATATAACAAAACAATTAATCAAGCAGAGAAGCATATTTCGCTGACAAGCTAAGGATAAAAGAAAATTCAAGTTGCAGAAATTACAATCCTCGCAAGCTTGTCATATGAGCTATATCAGGTATCTGCCCAGAAATATTACACCTCCTCAACATCCTGCACCCAAAGTTACTTTTAGCCTAAATAACTTCACTTCATAGTGGTGTTAATTACGAAACTTAACTTCATTTTTTGGAAAGAAAATGCATTACTCACAAATCTGTCATGTTTGCCATTTTCTGTAATGTAGGAAATCTGGAGACACCTCCATTTAGGTCACTGATTCTACTGCAGATTCATATTCTTGATCTTAACCATAGAAAATTATGCTAAAATCAAAATGCGAGTATATATTAATTAAATCGTCCAAGGAAATTTTAACTCACAGTTGTATCAAGCTTGTCAATGCAGAAATGTTTTCAGGTATGGGTCCTTCAAAGCCACTTGCTTGAACCTCTCTGCCAATCATATATTATGCTTGTCAATAAAAATTGATTTCATCCAGATATTTCACTTTTCAAGCATTAGATTTGAATCCTTACAGTTGTTGAAGGTCTTTAAAACCTTGAAAGCTAGGCATTTTCCCAGTGAAGTTATTCCTGCTGAGCCTACTGCATTGATTTCCCACGAGATCGACAAGTGATCGAGCATAAAGTATAGAAGAAACAATAAGGAATATGCACTTACAGCTCTGTCAATTTGGTGAGAGCATTAAGTTCTTTTGGCAATTCACCTGTGAGATCATTATCACCGACGATGCTACAGAAAGGAAAAAATAAAGAAAGCATCAAACAAGTGATTTAACTTCAAGATGTAGTAAAGCAATTAAGTTTGATTAATCCATTAATATCAAGGCACAAAACTTAACACTAGAGATGAGAAAGATTGTTATATATATTTGATTAACAAAGGCTTACAGATTCTGTAGGTTCGCGAGTTTCCCAAGCTCAGGAGGAACAGTTCCATTGAACAAGTTGTTCTCCAAGTTCCTAAAAAAATTATTTGTTGTTGCAACAAAACCCAAACAATTAAGTTCCTCAGAAAAAGTTAATATTAAAAAGTTTTACTTGTGTAAGTAGAGTGAAAGGAGCAAGGGAACATACAAATATACAAGAGTTGTTATATTTCCCAAGTATTTCGGAATTGGCCCAGACAATCGATTCACAGTAAGAGATCTGCAAATTTTCACTTCTTTATCAGGTGGTTTTCACTTGTATAGCTTAGGTTATAATACACAAGACATCTTACAGGTATTCCAATTTGGTAGAAGCCCATTCAGGGGGAATTGTACCATTTAAGTAGTTGCGGTTGAGATCACTGCAGAAATAACACTAATAATCAAGCAGAGAATATCAATAACAAGAGGTGATTATTGCATAAATGTAGAAAGTGAAGGTTGGTACATTATCTTAAGAAAGGGTAACTTCACCAAGGCAGGAGGAAGCACACCTTGCAGATCCTGTCCATTCAAAATTCTGCTTACACAACATTAGAGACTTAAAAGAAAGAAATATAATGAGAGATATCGATCATCGAAAAGGAAAAGCTTACATGGTTTGAACATGGCAAATACCAGCAGGGAAGCTACAATTGCAAGTGAGAGTGTTATTGTAGGCAGGCATATCTTTCCTTTGTGGTGTCATCCAGTTCGAGTTGTTGTCGCAAGGATTTAGTTTAAAATCCCAATCCTTCTTCCCCAGTTGATCACCTATTTCCTTAAGTGCATTTACTTCCATATACATTCAACAAAAAGATAGCTGTTAAAAACTATGTAATGTTCATGTAAAGATGGAGTACTATAGAAACTCCATAATCATCAAGAAAACAGCAGAGAGATGAGGCTCACATTCATCTTGAGGAAGAAGCCCAGTCTGTGCTTCAAGAAATATAGGATAGAAGAAGAAGGAGAGTATAATTGGTATGAGGATTATGAACATGGAAGCTGACATGATTGAACTCTGGGGAAGATCTGCTGCTGCAGTACAGTGTTTTTCTTACACTGAATTGTACATATATAAGGGCCCCAATGATAAATTAGCATACCCCACCCACCTTTTAAAAAAAATAAATTTAATTATATTATTATGTCAGAAGGTAAAGAATTTTGTTGAGAGATTTTGGTTCCTGTAGCTTAGCTTGATCATAATAAAAGATGGTTAAAATGACAGTGGAGACCACAAATACACACATAAAATTAATAAAGTAAGAGTATATTAAAAAATATATAGATGAGATATTGGGTGATGATTACTTGTGTGGCGAAATATAATATCATTTGTATGTAGCCCTCCAAGTTGACAATGAGTTTTGGGAAGTGGTGTGACCCTTGGAGCAAGTTAGAATGAGACATTTATGGCTTTATTGTTTGGTTGACAACATAATGAGTCTTGATCCCTTGGAGCAAGTTAGAATCGATGAAAGAGTATTTTTGAGTGAGGGGTTTTCTTACATCGGATATAATATCGTTTTTAAAGGATTGGCCATAAGAGTCATGCTATTGCCTCTCAAACACAAGGTATTAAATTTTTTATTGGAAATCTAGCCCAAGCCCCAAAGTAAAGGGTTTATGAGACCAATAACGATAACAACTAGCCAAGGAATTAGATAACAATTACAGAGAAAGGAGGGGAATAGGAACTTGGATTATTGGGAAAAGGAGACAAAATCGAATCGGGAACAAGGGAAAGAGCCAATTGACTACATAATGGATGTCATATAACCAGGAGGAATCATTTTTCAAGGTTATTCAATACTCTTAGAACACTAAAGGACATTCTCATGACTCATGAGTGTCTAAGAGGCGTTTCATAAAAAACTTGGTGTTCTTGACATCCCATACTTCCCTTTTCTCAAAGGTGAAGCATGGCCTGATCAACCCCTTCAACGTAGATTAGGTAATCACTCATTAGGAATAAAGTGTTTGTTATTTATAAGGAAAAATGTAATACTTTTGTGGAGAAAAATGTAATACTTTTACATTTTGATGTAAAAGTATTACATTTTCGTAATGTTGACAAGTGTTTGTTACTTATAAGGGAAAGTGTAATATTTTTGAAGAAATGAATACCAATTCGCATAAAAATGAAAAAAACCAAGCTAATAGTCATTATATTGCTTGTCAATTGCAAATGCCTCTCATTGCTTATCAGCAATATTGATGCATAATATATGTATAAATGCATTGTGAAAGTAATTTTGCAGTATGATGTCCTTACCTTTCATGCAATTCATTAGACAGTTTATGATTGTAAATTGATCCATATTTAATATATTTATTGAACTTAATATAAATGTCATAATATGTCGCTTATAACAGTGAACAACTTAACATCTCAAAATTTTGAGCCCATTATATATTCTTATTTGAGGCAATTAACAATTTGTTCTACTCAAACTTGAACAATTTATAACCTATTGAAAATCTCATAATGGTGTAGAGTACAAGTCAACATTTTGTGCATGAAACACATAATAATATTAATACTAATATAATAATCCACAAAATTGGAATTTATAGTTACTGAAAATATATCTTCAAAATATAAAGACAACAATATGTACATTTGCTAAAGGAAAATTAAAATTCTCTCATTACTAGGGTTTCCACACCCTGGTTCGTTAAGATAGTGAATGAGTAAATCACGATGACTCAATGAACTTTTAGGTGAGAAGTAAAACATGTGCCTAATGACCCCACCATATTATGGTTGCAAGGGTTTGATCATGTGTTCTTTTCCATAATCTACAACTTGAGCTATCTGTGAGGATCAGACTTACAAGTCGAATTTCTTGTACTATATTAGTGAAAGATGCAATTTTTCATTGTTAATTTGCATCGGAAGAAAAGTTTGCTTGGTATGGAGAATCACTTAAGTGGACTGGCATTTGATCATAATGATCTCTCATTGCTTGAAAGTTGAATTCGTGTAGATCGGTATCGTACTCAATAATATCTTCATGACCTTCAAGCATGTTGATTACTAGAGACATGGATGGCCTAAGAGCTGGAGAGGGATTAGTACAAAGTAAAGCTACTTTAATCACCCTGAGTGCTTGTTCTTTGTCGAAATTAGAACCCAATCTTGGATCTATTAGCTCTATTAGGTTTCCTTGTTTTTGAAGATCAAGTACCTGAAAATTGTGCATTAAATACCACATAACACAACTTAGTATAAGATTTTGCCACTAATTAGTTTGACATGTCTACCATCCATGAATTATGAGTTTGGTAGTGTTGGTATCTTACCCAATCAAGGAGGCAAAGACAATTCTCATCACGACGATACTCCACATTCTTCCCGGCAACAATTTCCAATGTCACCACTCCAAAACTATAGACATCAACTTTGAATGTTAAGTAGCCCCACAATACATATTCAGGAGCCATGTATCCTCTGTATGTAGAGACAAGGGAAGAGTAATTGTTATTTTTCTTGAAAGATGCAATGCATATGTGAGCCATCTTATATAATGTTTTTCATCACTTTCACATGAATAGCAATGCAATTTGGGATATGAATAAGAAATGTGAAGAGGCTACCCTTTTTTTTCAACTATATGATGGCATTAGAAATACAAAATGGATGAGAAATTGTTATAACATCTTACCTTGTCCCAGCAACTCTTGTACTAATAATATGTGTCTTGTCATCATCGTCAAGTTTAGCAAGACCAAAGTCAGAAATTTTTGGATTGAGTTCTCTGTCAAGAAGTACATTGGTGGGTTTAATATCTCTATGAACAATTTTTATTTCCGATTCTTCATGCAGAAAAGCTAAACCTTTTGCAACACCGACACATATTCTATGTCTGGTAGGCCAGTCTATTTTCAGTTGACAATCTTCTGGACCTGTAATTAGTGGTCAACGTAACTCAGAATACTTATGCTTACCTCGATAAAATAAACTAAATCCTCACTTTTCTAGTAGAATATCTTTATAAAAAAAATAGTAGCATATCTTATATTGGTAAGGAAAACTAATGTCTTTGTTTAGTTTATTGGCTTATGATAGCACCAAAAATAATCAAGATTTCGAAAGTACCAAAAAGAGCACGGGCAAGGCTGTTGTTTTCCAAGTACTCATACACCAACAGTAATTGCTTTCTCTCAACACAACACCCATAAAGTTTTACAAGATTAGGGTGTTGCAAACAAGAAATCATGCTTATTTCATTCAAAAATTCACGGTTTCCTTGTCTTGATTTGGATGAGAGTTGCTTCACTGCAATAACCGTACCGTCTAATAATGAACCCTAGTTTTATACACAAGGGAAAATCAATGGTCATCAATATAAGCATTTATAGTAAGCCCAAAAACAAAAGTGTCAATGTATGAATATTCGTATTTCTCAGTACCTTGTAGACAGGTCCAAAACCACCTTCCCCTATCTTATTTGCAGCATCAAAGTTGTTTGTAGCATCTTTAATTTGTGTGTAGGTAAATAGACCAATCCGTAGATCAAGGCCCTGTTCTTGTGAGGTCTTGTTTTTAATGTAGATTTTCCAACCAGCAAAACTGAGGATTGTGAAAATAAGAAACAAAGAAGAAGCTACTGCAACAACTATGATTAAAGTCTTTCTATTTTTGGGAGGCTTGAAATCTGCAGGCTCGTAGAGAAAGCATGGGGGTTAGTTAGATATCTTTTATATTTATCTGCAACTAAACAAAATCAATGAATAAGTAATTTGCAAATTGGCTAAGAGAAACTATATATTAACCATATTTAAAATAAAAATCATCACTAATATTACCAGATTCAACAGAAATGGCAGATATTAAAGGACCATATGTTCCTGGGAGTGGGACTACTGTTGTTCCTTTTTCAGCATACTCAAAGCGCACCTCGAGAGTTTTTTCTCTTACAACTGCTTGAAATTGTTTAACTAAGGCTTTATCTACTCCTTGTGCTGAAGTTTCAATATCAAAATCCTTTAATTTCCTCTCGCCCTGCAGTAAATAAAATCACTAGTTATAGTAAAATGCACACGACTTAATCATTGAAGTCTAAACAATAGAATAATTCTCGGTTCACCTGTATATAAACATCAAATATGCGTCTTCCAAGACTTTGAAAAGATCTATTATCTCTCAGAACTATCTCTGCAAAATGAAGTTTCACAGTATAGTTCCCATTTGCTAAACAACGTCCGTAATAAGTCATAGATAAAGGGGACAAGCGAACTGTCTTGTAGATTTCGGAGTCTGATCCCTTTATGGCAGATATATTTGTTGCTGTATAGCCATCTAGTCTTATGGATGTATCCCAAAAGTATCCTGTATTACTAGTTACCCAGTTCTCTTTGTTCGAATCAAATTTTGCAACGCCCGTAGAATCTTGATCTGCTTCATAAGTAGTGTCACCAATCAAAACACTGCTTCCACCGCAATTGATGTGAAATGAATACCAATCTACAGACAAATGGGGGAACAAAAAAAAATTAGACACTCATTGCTTATCAGCAACATTAATGTATAAATGCATTGTGAAAGAAGTTCAAATCAATTAAGCAAAAGATACATATAATGCAAGTTTTGAAATTCGATGTGTTCACCTTTCGTGCAATTCATTAGACACTTCCCGATTTGTCCTCCATTATAACTTTTGAACAAGTTTCTGGTAGGAAATGAGAAAGCTAAAATGATTCATGTTTGAAGGAAAACTTGAAATAGTAATGCATATAATATAATTAAGAGATTCCAGATTAATAATCTTACATGGTTTCCCGATTGCAAGTTGATGACACGAAATTCTCGTCAAAATTATTGTATGAAATATCAATGTAACTGCACAAGATAGAGTAGTTGAACAACTCATGTACAATTCAACAAAACTTACTATCTCGAGTCGCATGTAATATATTACACTGAACTTACTATCTCGAGTCTCGATTTAGAGCCCATTGAGGAATTTGTCCACTAAACGAGTTGTTCGTTAGAAATCTAACAACAGGTAGCGCAAAATTCAATTTAGTATGGGCTTACAAGCGAGTAAT